TTCGAGACGAACAACCTTTAGAAGAGCTGTTCGAGACGAATAACCTTTAGAAGAGCTGTTCGAGACGAACAACATTTAGAAGAGCTGTTCGAGACGAATAACCTTTAGAAGAGCTGTTCGAGACGAACAACCTTTAGAAGAGCTGTTCGAGACGAACAGCCATTAGAAGAGAGAAATGTCGCGTGTTTGGAATTCGGAAGCGATATTTACATGAAATGCAGTAACTACAGACCGTTGCGTAGGAATATCCGTAACAACGAGTGTTCGTTGCGTAAAAACGGATGAAACGAAACACTTCTGCAAGGCGTTCGGTATTGAACGAGGCTCGCATTTCCTTAGGAACAGAGGGTTCGTTGCGTTGCAGCGGGAAAACCGAACTGTTGAGAAAAGTGTTCAATAAGCAGTCCGAAAAACACCCACATAAAGGGGCTGAATCGAGTGAATGGAATCGAGAATAGTTCAGTTCGGAGAAGCAATGAACGCGGTAATAATTGTACTCGCTAGTGTAAAAGTGAGTAATCAATAAATGAATTCGTTCCGTTCCGAAGACCCACGCAATTTGTTCGTGTCTCGTCACGCAGCCGACACGTTGCAATGTGTATGGTGTCGATTTTATAAACTGAAATACTGAAATAAATATTTGAAGATTACGAGCTTCTGGGACGTACCACGTTAGTCTGGTAGTTATCAACTTTCCCATAAGACGTCAGTCAACTTGTACCAGACTGCACAGCATCGCATCCCAGAAGTGAGTATTCTTCACGGTCACTGTAGTGAGAACGTCAAATTTCGAAAATCCTGTGTCTATTTCTGCTGTCCCTAATTTCCATGGGTCAATTAAAAATTGACAATATCATGTAACATTTAACAGATTAATTATCTCCGTCCTGTAAATTTCAAGAGAACCCTGGAAGAATATCAGGCGCTTTGGCTTGTACAAGCAAAAGGCACACAGTTTTGATAGTCAAAGAGACTGTGACGCGAATATACCAACTTAGTAAAAATAAGTAACTGTCAGATATTTCTAATTTTTATTAATTAAATATTAAAATATAATTAGAAACTTAACAAGTGGATTTTACCAGATTGAAGGAATTTACTTACTACAGTCATCCTCGTATAATGCATATCCATTTATCCTAACTATAAACTGATTTTCATGCATTTATAATTTAAAACCGAAGTACAATGAAAACATTGCGAGTCGTAGGAGGCGACGAAAAGGAAAGTCTCAGATTTGAGACAGTAATACATGGTCTCGAATTCCAAGGGACTCGGACCCGAGAGAGACTGCGCTGGCAAGGACCAGCAGCATACATAAAAGACAGATCCGTCCTCTCGTCAGATAGGGCGCCCACAAAAAATAAGATCGTAACTGTCAAACAGTAATAAAGATCTGGTAGCAAGCCCCAGATGGGTGCTTTATGCCAAGACAGACTGGCCGACTGACCGTCGGTCGTAAAATGAGACTCAGACTCAGAACAGTTCAGATCCGAGGAGATCGGAATTGAGATAAGATCAGACCAGGGCGGAGGTCAGATCAGTGATCAGAGGGAGAAGCAAGAGGGAAACCGACGAAGTTTTTGCATGGCGTAGTTACAGTGCACATTAGAGTCTGACCATTGTTCGCAATTACGAATTACAATTGTCTTTATTTCCGCCTGACGTAATGCTCCAATAAACAGCTCTGTCTAAAGTCTCAACCCAGCAATTATTTGTCACGGATACCCGGACACGTGACAATATTATTACACCCTAACTCTCTATTCTGAATTACGTCATTGAACGTAAATAAAAATATATTAACAATGCAAACGTAAATGTTAGGTACGGTGGATCTACAGACGTAGATCTGGTACTTGTGAACGCAGTAATGAACCTTCGGTTTCCATAAAGTGACGGGAAATTTTTGAGGGGCTCAGCTACTATAGGCATTTAAAATGACTCAGCTCCATGAAGTCAGTCTTCATAGTTCTTGGTCTCGGCTCTAGAACTGGTAGAGGGAGGGGGCACAAGAGTAATCGCTGCCGTTTCGGCTAATAAATATGGAAATAGCAATACAATTTTTGATACCCACATAAAAGCAGACCTCGGCTTGCTATTCGCATTGTGGAATATCAAAAACAAACAAACTCCATGGCCTGTAGTCCGCAAGCGAACTATACCGACCGAGCGACCGCCGCTTATCAGCGAACTTAGTGCCAACTTTTGCGGATAGAGGGTGTCACGTGGTCAGCGCAACGGAACCCCACGGCCGTTAATCGCGGTTCTCTAGACCGCAGCCTCTATTTCCTTGAAATAGCTCCTCAATTATCCTCACCTGGATCAGTGGACCCCGTTCCAGACCCACTACTTCTCAGAAAATCTGGTAGTGCCGGGAATCTAACCCTGGACCTAAGGATTTGTAGCCAGGAGCTCTGACCACTAGACAACAAAGGTGGTCCATATTATGGAATATCGCTTATACGACATTTTATAATGAAATTCATACCCTCTGCTTCTAGCCTGAACCCAAATTCGCTCATCCGAAATATTTTCCGAACAGAAACGAACACACACGAACTACAAATGGATATGGGCCAGACGTCGCTCAGATAGTCCGCCTTACACTCTGGTGTGCATCATGCATAAGTCTTCCTTTTCTTTACAACAGATTTGACAATTTAATTGGTATTGTTTATTTTACAGAAAAATAAGGTCTCCAATGCTTACAGCATAATCTGTTTGCGATGTTAATGCATTTCTTCCAGACAATGAAATAGGTTATTTCTGATGTTTTAGTTACTGTATGGTTGTTCGGGATTGTAACCCACAATTATAACATTGCATTTATGAGAAATGGAGACCCAAACTTCGCTTTATGAACTCTCTTCAGAAACGTAAATATTCGTAATTATCTCTAGAAAGTTGGCGGATCTTATAGAACTCTCCACGAGCCGGGATAGCGCAGTCGATATGGTGATTGGCTACGTTCTGAACGACCGAGGGGTCGGAGTTCGATTCCCTGTAGGATCAAGAATTCTCTCTTCTCCACTTCGTCCAGACCGTCTCTCGGGCCCACTCATCCTCCTCTCCAATCGGTACCGGGGGCTTTTCCCCTGGGGTCAAGCGGCAGCGGCAGAGCAGCTGACCACTCACCTAAAACTAGTGCCGAGGTCAAGAAAATGTCCACTGCCCCATACGCCTTCATGGCGTGGTGCTTAATTAAATAAGCACAGGGACAACTTTACCTTTACCTCCACGAACTTACATTCCTAGGAGTGGAGGATACCTGCATGATCATATAGAGCAGGGGTCTCCAAACTTTTCGAACCGCGGGCTACATTAGGTAATTCAGCACTTTCAACGGACCGGATAAAATGGGAAATTAATAACTCTAGGTATATGAGTTTTATTGAAAGCACAGAATTTCATGAACTACGTAAATACAAAGTACGTGAGAATAAATTATCGTATATTAATGACAACAGACAGTAGCAGCAAATTCTCATATTTTCATCACAAATTATAATAAAACAATTAATGTTAATGATGGATCTCTTTTTGCATTTTTAAAATCTGATTAAATTGAGGTTCAAATTTTGAAACGCTAATCACAAGTAGCGACTTTAAATGTTCATCGGATAAATTTTCCCTGTATTTCGACTTGATGTACTTCATCTGGGAAAAAGTTTGTTATCACAGATATGTCGTCCAAAAAATGGAGATAAATTTACAAGAAAATTTCTTTAAATTTGGAAAGTGCTCAGAGTTCAGAAATTTATAAAATTCGATCAAATTTCCTTCCTTGTATTTGTCTATAATATGATCATTTTCCTGAAGTTCAATAATTTCCATTTGAATTTGACTTGGGACATCTGCAGCATCACAGTCAAACGGATTTTGAACAATCTAATTTCCTGAGCATTGGAATCCAAATCAGAAAATAGCTTCCGAAATTGTTCTTTCAAACCTGAAATGACTAAATTTGCAAACGAGGAAGGAAATTTTGGTTCACCCTTTTTATGCAACTCTGCGTAGTATAGCATATGAACAAAGTTACAGTTTTTCACTTGCCTTTCCAGAAGTATCAACTTTGCTCTGAATTCCTTGATAAGTGCAAATAAATCACAGACTAAGTTATTTTCACCCTGCAACTTTAAATTCAAATGGTTCATATGGTTTACGAGATCAGTAAAACTGCTAATATCCAAAGCCACTTGGTATCTGATAAAAGAGGTTCGTGATGGTTTTTCTTGGTAAGAAATATATAAATTTCATTCCTGCGCTGAAAGAAGCGCGAAAGAACCTTTCCACAGCTAAGCCATTGAACTGCAGTATAATATGTCAGGTCAATAAGCTCGGAATCACATTTACCAGTACTCACTGGAAAATTAGTTCAATTGGTGCATTTCTGCACAATTCTTTCGCGGGCCGGATGTGGCCCACGGGCCGTAGTTTGGAAACCCTTGATATAGAGGAACACAGAATTACTGTGTTTTTGGACTTTTTCCAACGTTCGGAATTCTACGTAATAGAGGATACGACGTTTCGGAAACTTGATCTGTTTCCGTCTTCAGGTGAGAAAGGAAGACACCTACTCAGTTGGGCCCATTAGAAATAGCTACTGTCAGTCACTGAGTAGGTGTCTTCTTTTCTCACCTGAAGACGGAAACAGATCCAGTTTCCGAAACGTCGCACTCTCTATAACCTAGAGTGTCCTCTATTACCTAGAATTCCGGACGATAGAAAAAGTCCAAATACCCAATAATTCTGTGTCATCCACCATCGTCAGAACGTTTTAGAAGCTACATATAGAGGAAATTCGCTACCATATAGAATTATTCCAAAATGGTTTATTATTCAGTTAAAAATTCAGTTACGTTGCATAATTCCTTGCGATTATCTGGCAGAACAATGAACACACTGACCTTCCAGTGTTTCTTGTCTCTCTGCAACGGGAACCAATGAAGTTCGGCTAGCAGCTACCTGCCAATGTTTACTGTACGACCACTACCAGTCAGCTAGCTCTCGTACCATCTACCGGCTACCAAGCAGTCGCTTGCGTCAGCCTTGCAGATGATATAGCAAGCCAGCAGACAACGGCACCGTTTCACTCTTGTTTTAGTTCCGTGCTGCCATAGAAATCAAGCAAAACTGCAGTCAGTCCACGATTGGTGATTCACAACATAACAGTGCCTTCGTCTGCGGACGTGCTAGCGTATGAAAACAGTTTGTTTCTCCGCAATTCAGTTTCAAGGTAAGCACCCATTTCTTACATTGACTGTATCAGCGTCAATGAATTGAAAATAAGCAAGCAGTTCTATCATACACTGATAAATAGTACGTGCTGATCTGGACTATTGAATACATTATTGGAATATACGCGACTGTTGCTATGGCAACTAACAGTTATGCAAAAGTTCCTAAAGTCTGAAATTTGTAACACGCAGTCAGTATATTATTATAACAATAACTAAACATTATTGTTATCTAGAGTTCTGTGTATTTCGCCACCGTTGTGTTGAGTATCTTTATAGTGGACACGCAAAATGATGTTCTTCACAAGAAAGAAATAAGAGGTGTGCCATATTGTCCAATTTGTTTTACTTATCATTCTACCCATTTTCGGTTAGTTAGTTCCCTTAGTGGGGGATGGAGTCCAACTGGGTCCACTCGGCACGGCGGACACTGATTGGCCTATTGTAGCCTGCCCCGCGTGATTATGATGATGGAGAATTTGGTGGAATGAAGATTGGCAGGGGAAACCGAAGCACTCGAAGAAAACCCGTCCCAGCGCCACTTTGTCCACCACAAATCCTACTTGACCACACCCGGGATCGAACCCGGACCGCCGATGTGGGAAGCCAGCGACAAACCCGATTAGTTAGTTACTATTGGTGAAGTTTCAGAGGAAGTGTTAAGCGCTTTAAAGACGGAATTTATTTTAAATGATACACGCAATTGTTACCTCACATTAAACAAATTACTTTGCTACAGAGATCGATCGGTTATTTCTAAGCAGGGAAACAATCGCTGTTCACTGTCGGAACCATACGAAACACACAGACACACACTGTTGGTAGAATTCAGAGTTTTAGGATGTTAAAGCGGGTTGTACACGTAATGACAACTTTGTTATATAGGGTTGTTAATATGTGGTCATATCCTAAAATATTCTTCCAAATATAAAGATTAAAATACAGAGAACTATAATTTTTCATGGTGTTTCGCGTGGGTGTGAAACTTGGTCTCTCATCTTAGGGGAAGAACACTGAGAATCACGTGTTCATTATCTAATTCCCGTTGTTACCTCTGAAGCATAAGACATCCGTGAAACGCCGTTTCATTTTAATTTCCTAATCTTGTATACAGTCGGTGGGATTCTTTGGATGGGGGATCAGCCCGACGCAAGACCACTACCTATACAGGACAACAGACACAGAATAAACGCAGACATTCATGCCTCGATTGGGATTCGAAACTGCGTTCCCAGTGTTTGAGCGGGAAAGATCCAATAATATTAATTAGGGACACAAAACCACACAATTACGATCTCCTATGTCAGTAAGAGACAGCAGCAAGATGCAGTGTTCTGACAGCATGTCTGCGGGATTCACCTGTATTTGCTACTTCATCTCTGCTCAGTCGGTTGTGGTGTGTTCGGAGTTCCTCATATTAACACTGACTTGAACTTCTTAATTCGCTGGGTGTTAGAAATAACTGTACTAAATTGACGCGCTACAATATCGTATCTAAGAGATGCTTGTTACAAGTCAGTAGTTCTTTTTCGTGAACATAAAAGGTGTTAGGTTTTAAGACCTGTTCCTTTAAACTGAAATTGTTGAATTTTCCATTGTTTCCTTGGACTTCCCCGAGGTTGATACTGGAAAGCCAGTTTTGGTAAGCAGCTTCTGCCCATTACAACTCAGTGATGTGACAGGGAATTTGTTGGCTTAGCGTTAATGCCCTTGGCTCTTATTCAGAAAGTACTGGGGTCGAATCTCGGCAGATACACGAAGTAACTTGAATTATTTTTACTGTTTGCATCCTGTTGCGTGAGTGCAACTAATAATACAAATTCCACTGCCAACGCAACTATAATTTATTAACTTATGTTCCACTACATGTTTCGACCCTTATAAGGTCATCCTCAGGTGTTGTGATTTACACATTTTCATTATTGAATTGTAAAGCGTGTATACGTCACAAATTATAAATCACTCCGTCCAATGTGACCTGTAAGTTTTTTACTACGCAAAAACTTAACACCCTTACATGTTTCGGTCTCTGTGGACCATGTAAGGGTGTTAAGTTTTTGCGTAGTAAAAAACTTACAGGTCACATTGGACGGAGTGATTTATAATTTGTAATTGTTATTGTGACGGACCAGAATGAAACAAATCAAACTCGTGTATACGTATTTACATACATAGACTTAAAGTGACTACTTTCTATGTACATTTATATTCTAAGCATCTAGATGTTGATTCAAGTACAACATATATATGGAACTAAAATTTGAAGATTAAAAGTTGATTTTAAATTAATTTAAAAGTGCCGTATGCTGTATTCAGCTATGTGTCTGTTGCTCTAGCAGGCCACGCAACTTTTCGTCTGATTCTTCTATTACTGGTTAGGTTCGTTTGTGTTAACTCTTTCTTAAACACGAATTCGTCTTCTTTCTTATTTCCAGGATGTCGAATATTACTGTTGTTGTGTTGCCTAATTGATGTATGCTCAGCTGCGTGAACGATTTTTTTGGGGGGGATTTCTTAGTTCCTCCAGGAACATTCCTGGATAGTGTCCAGAGTAGACGACCACAGCTCCTTCCCTCTGTCACTCACCATCCGGTTCTACTCGAATGTGGCCCATCTACAGAAAAAAGGAACTCCGTGGCCTATAGTCCGCAAGCGAATTACACCGACAGAGCGGCCGCCGCTTGTCTGCGAAGTTAGTGCCAATTTTTGCGGATAGAGGGTGTCACGTGGTCAGCGCAACGGATCCCCATGGCCGTTAATTTCGGTTTTCTAGACCGGAGCCGCTACTTCTGCATTCAAGTAGCTCCTCAGTTATCCTCACGAGGCTGAGCGGACCCCGTTCCAGATCCACTACTTCTCAGAAAATCTGGAAGAGCCGGAAATCGAACCCGGGACCGCAGGATCTGTAGGCAGGAACTCTGACCACTAGACCACAGAGCTACAGACAGCATCGTAAATAATCTACACAAAAAATTGTGACCAGGTGCTGTGGCCTGTGACATGCATCCGACTCTTTGACCTCTGTGGCTGGCGGATATAATATTGGCCACTCTCTTTTTTCCAACCAGTTTTCCTTACTGTGAAAAAAGAAATAAAAGTACTCACATTACTGGCTGCATGTCCGTTTGTATACCGCCCTAACGACTTTTGAACGCCTGAACCGATCTTTATGAAACTTGGACCACTTGAGGCCATCTTAAACGACGCGTTTCACAAATCTGTCAGTAACATCAAAACTGCAGCCTCTCAGATTGCATTGTTTTACTGACTTTATTACGCCTACAAACTAAAGCTGTGGTCTAGTGGTCAGAATTTCTGGCTACAGATCCAGAGATCCCGGGTTCGATTCCCGGCGCTACCAGATTTTTCTGAGAAGTATTGGATCTGGAAAGGGGTTCACTCAGCCTCGTGAGAATAATTGAGGAGCTATTTCAAGGAAATAGCGGCTCCGGTCTAGAAAACCGAAATTAACGGCCATGGGGATTCGTTGCACTGACCACGCACCGGACACCTAATGCCAATGCGAGCCATCTCCATCGGTTCTGATGACCGGAATTGCATGTTTACAACGTGGTTCTGTTGTTAACGGGCATCCATCAGACGAGGATGAGGTCACTGAACCGTATGTGCGGTCATAGTCCCTCCTCGGCGCATAATTCCGCCTCAGGGTGGGGGGGAGCAGGTGCAGGTAACCACGTAAGTTGCAGTTTGGCACAGCGGTCAGTTACATTTCAGTGTACATGAGTTGGGGCTGTGTGCAAGCTAGTGTTGCGTTAAGAGAGGAGTGTGGATTTCCTGCCTGTCACACGTGAGTTGTAAAATACCTGTCGTGTAAACATTAGTTTTTGTCTGTTTGCTACAATTTACTGACCGCCTCTGTGGTCTAGTGGTCAGAGTTCCTGTCTACAGATCCATAGGTCCCGGGTACGGTTCCCGGGGCTACCAGATTTTCTGAGAAGTACTGGAACTGGAACGGGGTCCACTCAGCCTCGTGAGGATAATTGAGGAGCTATTTCGTGAAAATAGCGGCTCCATTCTAGAAAACGCGTGGGGATCCGTTGCGCTGACCACGCGACACCCTCTATCTGCAAAAGTTGACACTAACTTCTCCGACAAGCGGCGGTCGCTCGGTCAGTATAATTCGCTTGAGGACTACAGGTCACGGAGTTTCCTTTTTTGCTACGATTTACTGTTATAATCGAGCATGTTTTCATATTGAGACGTGACGGCTGAAAGCCGGAATAGTGGAGCCACAACCAGATGTCCGTTGCTCAGCAACGGACGGAAGTCACACTAAGAAATATATCATACAGAAAGAAAGTAAGATGTGATGGGAAAGAAGTTTTAACCCTGAACGGGAAAAGGATTTGCATTCACTGTACATTATTAATCTCTAACATTGCTGCGAAAATAATTGTAACAATATTGCCCGAATTTTTCTTTAAATCAGAATTACATAAGAAGGAAATTTACATCCCTAAAATTAGTAAACGCCGGTCACGGTAGCCGAGCGGTCTAAGGCGTGCACTGTCTTCGCTTGCTCGGAAGCCGGGATCGTGGGTTCGAATCCCACTCAGGGCATGGATGTTTGTGTGCGTTTTTCTGTGTTTGTGTACAGGTAGAGGCCTTGCGACGAGCTGTTCACCCGCCCAAGGAGTCCTGCCATATGTGTAAGATCTAGAAAAACCGAAGTGAACGGAGAAGTTCATGGAGGTAGGCCTAGGCCCACTGGGGCTGCAGTGCCAAGGGGGGAAAGAAAACCACAGTAAGCATTACTTTCTTCATTCATTAAAGAAATCGATACGATAACTGATTAGAGTTCTCATTACTTCGTGAAACATTGCTTGTGCTACGTATTCATGTAACCGACAGAGAAGTAGTTACGAAAATATTGTTGAAGCTAATTCAGTTTCAGATCGAAGCAATTCAAAATTTCAGAGACTTGTGGCACATATTCCACTTTCGCATCGCACTACAAACAGCCGTATATTGCACATCG